ATACGGTCAGGCTAGGTTCTTGGCAAGCTCTTGAGGGAGGCTGGTGGTGGTTTTGGTGCCATTTAGGTCACAGTTGGCCTGTGCCCACATTCTGGGAATGTTTGTGCTCGTTGGTAGGATTTGGTGTCCTGTGGAAAGAGCTGCCAAGAAAGTTGGGACCTAAGGATGCTCTCCACATGTGCCTGCCTCTGCCCATTCATTCATTCTCCAGATGGAGAGGTTTCTGTGAGCAAGGCACTGCTCTAAGCCTCAGAGAGACTAACTTTATCCTTAACCTGGAAGAACAGCAGATACCAGAAGAAGTGGTTACCCCTGCCCCTGTCCCCGTATCTCCTGTAATAATTACCCAGTCATCCTCCCACCTAAGTAACCTCCTGCTTGCTGAAATCTGACTCCAGTGGCCAACAGATTCTAGCCCTTCCTAGATGGAGGCAGCCCAGTATCTGAGACATGCTCCAGCCTCCCATGCAAATGGTCATCAAGCAGCCTACACACCACAGGCTTAAATGATCAACTCGGGAGAACGTCCGACAGTAACTCTAGTGAGCCATTCTTATCCCCTTGGGATGAGAAAACCAAGGCTAGGAGAGGTGATGCCACCTGCCTTTCTAATAATCGGTAGAACCAGGAGTCTGTCTTGACATCAAAGCCTTGGGCAAGCCGCCATCTCTCCAGGCCTCAGGTTCCCTGTTGAAAAGCCAGGGCAGCAAAGCCGTCCGTGCAGGGTGGTGTGAGAAATTCCGTGATGTCATGCTTTGAAAAGTGTGTGGTCCTATATGCAAAGGGTTGGAAGTGTGTGTACCAGCTATAAAAATAATGGTGCTTGTGTTCAAGGGTATAGTTGTGATTTGTTTTTTAACTTGAAGATGGAGAACTTCCCAAGGATGTCTGAAAAGGAAAAAGCATTCCTTCAAACTGATGGCCAGTTTGAAAATAGAGTTTTCCATCAGAGGCTGTTGCTGGGAAATGTGAATAGGATGTATCCTTCCTGTGGTGTGGCTGCAAGAACAATCAGATGATTAGTTTGTGTGGCATTTTATCGTTTACAAAGCACTTGCAAATCCATGGCCCACCGAGTGGTCTCATAGTAAAAACTACAGCTTTGGCATTTGACAGACCTGTGATAGGTTCCTGGTTCCAGCACTTACTAGCTGTGTGCACCTAACCTCTCCGAGCCTCACTTTCTTCATCTGTAAAATGGGATAATTCTGTTCAATGAGTAGCTCAGAGAATTGAGTGTGGTGATGCATATCGTGTACTTCCAATAGCCTGGCACAAGGTATGCTCACAAATTCCCAGCCAGTATTATTTATGTTGTTGGTACATTTGTCCTCATGATCACGCTGCTGAGGTCATGGTATTGTATCCACCGTTCCTGAGATGAGAAACATGTGACTCAGAGGCGGTCTTTGTTTCTCCTGGGGTGGCCTGGCTAGTGGGTGACAAGCCACCCCGTCTCCAGCTCCGGCCCTGGATCCCGCAGTTGCTGAATATTCAGTGGGTCAGTGCCTCTCCATATTCAAAGGCCTTTGTTCTGGTTCATAACAGCCCTTTGTTGCTGGCCAGAGGGAGGAGCGGTGGACTTTGAGCCTCTAGCCTTCAGCCTCCACCCCAACTCCGGACCCCCATGTTTGCTTAGGGAACCATGTTACTAATGGAAGTGTGTCATACCCTCAGAGAGGGCTGGGGCCGGGAGTAAAGGTTGAGCCGGATTTGTCGGCTTGCACTTGGTGACTGGCAGGGCTCCAGACGCGTGTCCCTATCATCAGCAGTGGGACAGCTGTTATGCTATGTGAACTTGCCCATCGGAGAGGCAAGGATTACAGTTCTGCACCATCAGACTCCAACTCGGATCAAGGCCTTGGCCGGTCCCCTCCCCCCAGCGCTCCCTCGCTGTTAGCTATAAGTACATTTACAGAGCCCACTGCGTGCAGGGCTGTGCTCAGTGTTTCTGCCTGCATGATCGCCTTTGATTCTCACAAGCTGGCAGTCCTGTGATGGATCTCGTCCTTAGCCCTGAAGCCTACAGAGTGATCCTTTGAAACATGCTCAGATCACGACATGCTTTGGCCCAGAGCCCCGGGTGGCTGCCCGTCTGCCACATTGAAGGGTCATAGCACAGCCCACAGAGTCTGACCTGGTTTGTCCTGGCCACCTCTCTGATCCCTGCTTTCCATTCTTCCTGTGCCAGCTCCCTATTGTTGCTTAATAGATTGCTCCAAATGTGATGGCTTAAGCCATTTTATTGTTTCTGCTGATTCTGTGCATCAGGAAATGAGCAGGCTACAGAGGAGACAGTTTGCTCAGCTCTGTGTCCTATCTGCTGGGTCTGAGCATCCAGTGGCCTTTTCATACCCATGGTGGGGCCTGGCGAGGATGACCAGGGTGGCTGGGGACCGGCTGCAACTGCCTGCTGGGGTCATAAGCCGGGACCTTGATTCTTACTGTCAGCCAGTTCCTTGGTCGTCCTCCTTGGAGCCTTGGGGCCTCTTTCTCTCCACGTGGTTGTGTCAGCAGCATCGCTGGACTTCTAACACAGCAGCCCCAGGCTCCCAACAGCGCAAAGCAGAAGCTTCCTGGCCCTTTTAAGGCTTGGATCTGGAACTGGCAGAGTATCAGTTCTCTCGCGACCTTTGGTTAAAAACAAGTCATGGATCCAGCCTGGATTCAAGGGGAGGAGGCCACAGAGGGCTGGTGTGGCTCTTTGGGGGCCACCAACAAAAGAGCCTTCGAGGCTCCCATTCATTCACTCTTCCCCACTCACCTAGGCCCCCATGCTCTTCTTCAAGCATGCTGTGCATGCCCCTGCCTCAGGGCCTTTGCACTTGCTGTTTCCGTCTCGCAGGATGCCCTTCCGCAAATATCCACAGGGCTCACACACCCCCTCTATTTAGCCTCAGTGCCATGTGAGTAGGTTGTTTACTTTGTTCACTGTAGTATCCCTAGCTCCAGATCTGACACGTGATAGGTATATTTGGTGAATGAATGAGTTTTTGAGATGAGGAAACTAAAGCTCAGAGAGGTTAAGTAATTTCCCCAAAGACACACAGCTAGTAATCGACAGACCCCAGATTCAAACCCAAGCAAGCTTTGCTGCCTGGAGGGGTAATTGCTTAGGTTATCACAGCTGTCTCCTACCTCCTCCTTCCATGTCCTGTCTCCACTCAGGATGGTCTTCCCAAACTAAAATCGGATCAGGTATAAAATACATCCTGAAAGTGGCATTCGTTCCTTACCTTCAACAGAAAGCTCTCCCTCCTCAGACCTCTGCACAAGGCACAGCAAAACTTGGCCTCCAGCTGTGGTCTGATGTAGCAGAGTGAATATTCTTTTTTTTAATTTTAATTTTAATTTTTATTGAAGTATAGTTAATAGAGATTCTTGAGTAGGCAGACCTGGCTCTGGTTCCAATGTCCCCACCCCCAGGCTCTCTAAGCACGGGCAAATTACGAATGTCATCCACTCATCCATCTATCCAATAAGTATTTATTGAACTACTCTGAGCCAGGGATGCTGCTGGGTTCTGGGTTGCAATGGTGAGGAAATCTTTACAGTCCCTGCGCTCTGAAAACTTACAGTCCACTGGATAAGACAGACATACTCACATGGTCACGCAAAGAAATATAAGGTTATAGATTGTGATAAGTGCTGTGAAGGACCTACTGTGTGGGGGAAAATGAGTAACAAGACACCTACAGGGCTTCCCTGGTGGCGCAGTGGTTGAGAGTCCGCCTGCCGTTGCAGGGGACACGGGTTCGTGCCCTGGTCCGGGAAGATCCCACATGCCGCGGAGCGGCTGGGCCCGTGAGCCGTGGCCGCTGAGCCTGCATGTCCGGAGCCTGTGCTCTGCAGCAGGAGAGGCCACAACAGTGAGAGGCCCACGTACCGCAAAAAAAAAAAAAAAAAAAAAAAGACACCTACAATAGTGCAGTGGGGCAGGGTTGGTTTCCTTAAGGAAGTGGCATTCGAGTAGGAGCTAAGAAGTTCACTCCAGGCAGAGGGAACAGCATACGCAAAGGCTCTGAGGAGGAGGGAACACAGGCCCATTTTAGTATATGAAGGATCCTAAGAAATGTAGGTTGGAGGTCAGAGAGCCTGAGGAGCTGGAGAGGCGGGCAGGAGTCAGATCATGCAGGGCTTCGAGGGCTTGGGCAAGGGGTTGGAGAACCCACGAATGACTTTATTTTCTCATCTGTAAAATGGGGATGATAATAGTACCTACCTCAGTACGTGTGAGCATCTGTGGTCAGTTCGGCAACAGCTGGCTATAGGCTGGCCTGGAATGGTCTCGGTTGGGCTGATCATCCCTGCTCTACCTGATCTCATCTTCCAGCAGGTTAGCTTGGGCTTGTTCACAAGGCAGCAGCTGGCGTCCAAAGAACAGCAGAAGCTGGCAAGGCCTCCTGAGGCTAGGCTTAGAACTGGCACAGCATCACTTCTGTTGCATTCTGTTGGTCCAAGCAGATCATAAGGCCAGCCCACATCCCATGAGTGGTCCTGAAGCTCTTAACAGAGTGCCTGGTGCAAAGGAAGTGCTCCGTAAATGCCATTATTATTATTGTCGTTGATGATGTTGTTATCGCTATGCATTTGCAAAGCAGTTTATGCTTTTCAGAGCTTTATCCCATACAGTGGATACCCTACACTGTGTGAGGATAGTTGGGGCAAATGTCACTAGCCCTATTTGCCAAATGAAAAACAGAGGTTAGGTTACTCAAAGCCACACACCTAGCAAGTGGCTGCAGCCAAACACTAGAATGCAGGTATCATATAACTGAAAACACATCTGCTGAAAGTGAACCCTTTTGCAGATGATTTCATTGTCCTGAGCACCATCCTGGTAAATAAAATAATTAAGATACAAATACTTTTGTCAGTGGCCCAGGCTCCTGACTGTGAGGTTTAGTTAGGGTCTCTGAGATCTAAGTCTCCTACATAAGTTTTGGGTTTTGGTCCCCAGGTTCACTGGGGTGAGCGGTGGTTTTCTTCTTTCTTACCCAGAGAGCCTCTCTTTGGACTCCAGTTGCTTTTCTTCTCCACCTGTGACTTTCCTTCAAGAATTGCCAAGCTACCGGTCTATTGCTCGTAAGAGGACGACCATCCTTTCCCGGGACAAGCAAAGTGGCACTTTGCTGAAGCCAACAGACTCTTACAGCTCCCAGTTGGAGGGAGAAATCACTGAAAACCTTGACAACCAATCCATTCGGAAATATGCACTGAACATCTCTGAGAAGCGGAGACTAAGGTTTGTCCAGCAGCCATCTGGAAGGCATATGATGCATGTTTTGGGAAGAGGTGCTTTTTATGCATGGAATTTCCTGAAGAGTTCACATAATTAAAAGTTTATTAACTTAGGATAAGCTAAGCTGCTGTGACAAAGATACCCACACAGGTAAAATCTCAGTGTATTAGAAGTTTATTTCTTGCTCACATAAAAGTCCTGGGTTGAGGTCAAGGGGGAACTTTGCAGTCACTCAGGGACCCAGGCTGCTTCCATCTTGTGGCTCTGCAACCGCCAAAGCCTCATCATTGTCTGTAGTCACTCTGTTCCCCTTCCCCCCAGCACCTGCCAACCATTAATCTACCCTCCGTCTCTATAGATTTGCCATTCTGGACATTTCATATACATGGAATCATATGACATGTGACCTTTTGTGTCTGACTTCTTTCACTTAACATCATGTTTTCAAGGTTCATGTAAGTTGTAGAATGTATCAGTATTTCCTTCCTTTTTGTGGCTGAATAATATTCTACTGTGTGGATATAGCAGTTTATTTATCCTTTGATGGAGATTTGGGTTGTTGACACATTTTGGCTATCATGATTAATGCTGCGTTGAACGTTTGTGTACAAGTTTTTGTTTGAGACCTTGTTTTCAATTCTTTTGGAGTATCTACCTACGAGTGGAATTGCCGGGTCATATGGTAATTCTGCATTTAACTTTCTGAGGAACTGCTGAACAACCAGGAGTGCATGAGGGCTCCAGGTTTTCCACATCCTCTCGGCTGGGGTTTTATTTGGTGCTGAGGTTGATGACACCGCCTTGTCATTGTCATGCTTGTTTCTCAATGCAGGGACATTCAGGAGACCCAAATGCAGTACTTATCTGAGTGGGACCAGTGGAAACGGTATAGCAGCAAGTCTTGGGAGAGGTTCATAGAGAAGGCTCGCGAGATGACAACCCACCTGGAGCTGTGGCGGGAGGACATTCGCAGCATAGAAGGTACCACACCCCACACTGCATGTGCTCCTCCGTAGAAGTCACCTGCGCCTGAGGAAAGGACAGCTTTGTTTTCACTCACCCCCCCAGCTGAAACGTAGCATTTCCTTCCGTGATGAATGCGAGCAACTAGCCACAGTTAGGATTAATAGAGCCTGTGTCTTCGTCACCAGGAACATCACAGATGTCTTCCTGTCCCTTGCAGTTGTTGTAGTTGTCTGGGAATAGCATCTGCGCTCATCATGACTTTGAAATTACAGCAGTGATTAGATCTGCCACTAGACCTTGTTATTTAATATGTTAATGGAAATGCTCATGTATTAATCTATCACAAGTTTAGTTTATACAGTAATGTTTTGATCATCATACGACCATGTGTATTTTGTGCGTTTAAAAATGTTATTCCAAGATGGGGCTCAATAAGCCTCATCAGACTGCCAAAGACACCCATAGCCCTGAAAATATTAATAATCCTACTTTCCCGTAATGGTGAGAATTGGGATGAATTACAGGCAGACCTAGGAGATATTGAGTTTGGTTCCAGACCTGCCGCAATAAAGCAAGTCACACGAAATTTTTGGTTTCCCAGTGCGTATAAAAGTTGTGTTTGCACGATACTGTAGTCTATTAAGTGTGCAATAGCATTATGTCTAAAAAATAGTGTACATACCTTAATTGAAAAGTACTTTATTGCTAAAAAATGCTAACCATCATCTGAGCCTTCAGTGAGTTGTAATCTTTTTGCTGGTGGAGGGTTTGAAGTATCGCGAGAATTACCAAAATGCGACACAGAGACCGGAAGTGAGCAAATGCTCTGGAAAAATGGCGCTGATGGACTTGCTTGATGCAGGGTTGCCACAAACCTTCAATGTATGAAAACAAAAATATCTGTAAAGTGCAATAAAGCGAAGCGCAATAAAAGGAGGTATGCCTGTCATAACAAAATCCATAGACTAGGTGACTTAAAGAATAGACATTTATTTTCTTACAGTTCTGGAGACTGGAAGTTTGATATCCGGCCACCTTGTCACTCTGTCCTCAAATGACCTCCTCTTTGTGTGTGCTTGGGGAGAGAGAGCACGCTTTGTTGCTTTTTCTTCTAAGGGGACTAACCTATCATGAGGGCCCCACTTTCCTGACCTTACCTTAACCGTGTTACCTCCCCAAGGCCTGTTTCCAGATACCATCACACTGAGGGTTTGAGTTCCAGCATGTGAATTTGCAAGGGGTGAGGGGAACAATATACAATTCAGTCCACAGCAGGTATACAAAAATTGGAAGTTATGACAAAATGTAAAATTAGAAAAAAAAAATTAAACATTTGGGTGACATAACTGAGCCAGGGGGAAAATACCTTTTAGGATTACCTGGTTTCTACTAGAAAGCAAAGCAATTTACAAGCTTCTCCTCAAAACTGCTGAAATGGAAATTTTGTGATGTTTGTAAGGAACATGGCAGGATATGTGAAAAAATTTATTGCCCCCATTATTACTATTTTAAAACCTATAAAATACCAGTGGTATCTATGAACTTTTTTAGTTGCTTTATTGGGAGAATGTAAACTTATTTCCAGGGGGGGATTCATTAGAAACTTAGAACTTCAACCATCCACTTTAGAAGTTTAAGTGAACATCATCTTTGGAGCAAAAAATAATAAAAGCTAACCTTGATTGAGCCTTCACTGTGAACTGGGCATTGTGTTCAACATTTTACTCATATGATCTCTGTTGATCCTCACAAGAACCCATTTTTCATATAGGCATTTATCATTTGCATGGTTCAGAGAAATTAAAATACTTGCCCAAGTTCATTGGCTAGAACAGGAGACCCAGAATTTGAACCCAGGCAGTCAAGCTTCAGAACCCAAGGTTTTAGCCACCATGTTCAGATTCCTCTCTTGTTAAGTGGTGGCTTTTATGGAGATTTTCATTCATAAAGTGGCTTATGTGTTGGAAGGTAGTTTCTCCCCATGGAACTGGGCCCTTGATTTTCTCTTCAGTGACTCCAGTCCTGTGATTTCTTGGCTGACTAGGTACTCATCTGGCAGGAAGTGAAGGATTGATAGTTAAGCTCCTTACCTCTGTCAGGGAGAGAAGAAAAGATTGTGGGTCTCACATCTTCAGTCTCAGAATATAAGTTCTTTGCCTGCACCAAGAACAAGCAGACATCCTTATTCTTTGAGTGCTTTCTGTCTGTCCTTAGTAATTTAATCATTATTTGGTGGAAGGTTTGTTTTCTATTTAAAAAATCAATGAATGTAATTCACTACATTAACAGAATAAAGAAAAAAAAATTATATGATTAACCCAACTGATGCAGAAAAAGCATTGGTAAAATTCAGTTCTCATTCTCAGCAAATAAGAAATAGATGGGAGCCTCCTTTTTTTTTTTCTTCTTCTTTGGCCGCACTGTGTGGCTTGTGGGATCTTAGTTCCCCAACCAGGGATTGAACCCAGGTCACCACAATGTGAAAGAGCTAAGTCCTAACCACTGGACCGCCAGGGAATTCCCAGGAGCTTTCTTAATCTGGCAAAAAATATCTATAAACATTCTATAGCACACATCATACTTAATGGTGAAATATTGAAAGCTTTTCTTCTAAGATTGAGAATGAGGAAAAGGCTTCTAATTATCACAGATTCTATTCAGCATTGTCCTGGAAGTCCTAGCCAATGTACAATGATGGGAAAAAAAGGGTCAATGACCAGAAAGGGAGAAATAAGTTGTCTCTTTTTTTTTTGCAGATGACATGATTTATTGGTAGAAAACAAAAAAGACAAACTATTAGAATTGAGGTAAATTTGGCAAGGTTGCTAGATATAAGATCTATATATAAAACCAACTGTATTTCTATATACCAGCAACGAACATTTAAAAAATAAGTTATACAGTAGTATCATTGCACCTAGGAATACATCTAAAGAACTATGTGAAATAATTCTGCACAGAAAACTATAAAATATTGTTGAGAGAAATTAAAGAACCTAAATATACCATGTTCATGGATCAGAGACTCAATATTGTAAAGATGTCACTTGTTCTCAAACTGACCTATATATTCCATGTAATCCCAGTCAAGTCAGAATCTCAGCACATTTTGCACACGCGTGCATGAGTGAAAATGAATATGCTGATTCTAAAATTTATATAGAAATGCAGAGGACCAAGGATGCCTGAGGAAGAAGAAAGCCTAAAGACTTAGAGCACCATATATCAAGTATTATTGTATCTGCAATAATGAGACAATTCTGGTATTGGTGCAAAGATAGACTAATAGACCCATAGAACGGAAGAGGGAATTCAGAAACAGGTCCATAAATATATAGTCAATTACAAAAGCACTATTGCAATTAACTAGGGAAAGGATAGCCTTTTCAATAAATGGTGCTGAGTTAATTAGATATTCCTATGAGAAAATATTGAGCCCTCTCTCACACCATCTCAGATTATTGATTTGAGTGATTGTAGATTTACATGTGAAAGTTTAAACTTAATAATTTCAAGTAGAGCCTTGAAATTATTCTTCCTTCCTCCCCCACCAAGATCCTCCAATTTCAGTTCAGCCCTCTGTGGCTGATTGAACCTACAGTGGGTACTGTATCAGTACTCCTGGTCAGTGATGTCTGGATTTCTTTTTTCCAGGAAAATTTGGCACTGGAATTCAGTCCTACTTCTCCTTCTTACGGTTTCTGGTATTGCTGAATTTGGTGATATTTCTGATCATCTTTATGCTGGTTTTGCTCCCAGTCTTGCTCACCAGATACAAGATCACCAACAGCAGTTTTGTGCTCATTCCATCCACAGGCGCGGGTGAGTGTAAGGCCTGGTTTGCTACGAGGAGGGTTCTTTTCATTGTGTACCTAGCTACAATGCTTCTTTCTCTAGCAATCTTTATAATCTAAGTCTTGGGTGACTGTATTAGTCAGGATAGGCTAGGTTATGCTGCAGAAACAAATGACCCCATAGCTCAGCGCCCAGTAACCTCAAAGGTTTCTTTCTTGCTCACACTGTATGTCCATCAGTGTTTGGTGGTGGCTTTGTTCCATGTTGTCTTCACTCTGGAGCCCAAGCTGAGGGAGTAGCCTCTCTCTGCACCATTGACAGTCACAATGTCCAAAGGAAAAAGAGCCATGGCAAACACGTGCTGGCTTCTAATGCTTCTGCCTGGAGATGACACACATCCTTTTTGCCACACCTTACTAGCCAGTGCAAGTCACTCGCCACTCCTGGGTTCAGCAAGGCGTTTGGGAGAAGCAATGGAGGGTGGGGAAGTGGACTATTTAGTAAACATAATACAGTCGACTCCAGTGACTTTATTTCAAGCTTTTATTTCAAGACTTTTATCTCCGATAATGGTGGTGCTCAGACTGCTGTTTATTAAACATCAGTCATCTGCCAGATGCTATGGCAGGTAATGGACCTGTGTTTTCTTACTGAATTCTCAGTGTAAGTCAGGTCTGGGCATCCTGTTTTTTCAAATGGGGATAATTTCTGTCATTCCAGAGATGTTTATTTACCACCCTCTAGTACCAGGCTCTGTGCTAGGAGCTGGAAGTGGAAACCTCCTGCTTCTATCACATGACTCCTTTCCCCAGAAGAATGCCCCGTCTGCAGTCACTTCTGTGGCCCTAAACATTCCTCCTCATCACATTTGTTTTTGTTTTAATTCTATTACACTTAAAAATCAAATAACGTGGAAATGCTGACTTTGAGTGCCTACTGCATGCCCGATGCTGCATTCTCATTCTCTAATATGTCCATTTCACAGATAAATATCTCCTGCTGCTGTGTGAACACCCTGGGTTCGGTTTCAAGGCCCAGCTCTGTTAGTTGATTAGATTTTGTGAGCCTCATTTTCGTTATCTGTAGAATGAAGGTGATGATTTAACTAGTGAGACAATTGTTTCATTATTCAAATAATGTTGTACTACACTATTTAATACTTAGCTCATTAAAAGATAATAAATACTTATTATTTAAAGTATAAATAATTGAAAACAATAATATAAATTCTATATTATTTAATACAGAAAACTTAAGTATAAGTAATGATTAAGCAATACTCATAATTTTTAAATGAATATTAAATAAGATAATACAGTGCTTTGCCCATGGAAAGTGCTCAATAAATGCAGCTTTTTTTTTTTTTTTTAGTATTATTTCTTTCTAGAAGAACTGAATGCTATTCTGTCTCACTAGACACCACTGCCTGTTCAGTTCTCCCTTTAGCCGTGAGCAGGGCCTTGGGCGGAGGGAGGCCACGCTCTTGGAGGAAATGAAGCTGGACTCTGAGCGTGGACACCACGCATCTCTTCTTTTTCCTCATTATTTCCTCTGACTGCATCGTCCTCCTGCACATGCTTTTTTTTTTTTGACTTACCTAGTAAACTTTGTCCCTTAAGGTAAGGGTCAGAAGTCCCTTTCTTCCTCTTCTCACTTCCCTTCTCCATTCCTTCAACAAGTGTTTATTGAGCACCTGCTGTGTGCTGGGCCCTGACCTGAGCCAGGCCCTGGGGCAACAGCAGGGACCGCCACAGGGTACTGCACTATAGCAGACGATGGACATTAGGAAGGGACCACACGAAGAGGTATATAAACTATGAATTTGCCTCTGGGGGAGGGGAAAAGATAAGGTGCTGAGAGGTCAGACACCAGGACACTGGAGGCTGAGGGGTGCCCCAAGCCCTCTGTGAAGGCAGGGATATGTAAGGCGAGCCCAGGAGCACAAGGAGAAGGCAGCTGTTGGAGAGCTCGGGGAAGCTTCTTCATGCAGAGGAACAGCATCTGCAAAGGTTCAGAGCTGGGAATAACTTAGCATATTAGAGAAATGAAAAGCCAGGTGTGGCTGGTGGACACGCTTCCTGGAAAGGGCCAGATAGTCAATATTTTAGGCTTGGCAGGCCATATGGTCTCTGTTGCAACTATTCAGTACTGCCGTTGTGGCACAAAAGTGACCACGGAGAAACGTCCCAAATGGGCAAAGCTGTGTTCCGATAACACGGTATTAACAAAAAAAGGCAGCTGGCCAGATTTGGCACAAGGGCCATAGTTTGCCGACTTCTGGGCTTGAGGACAGTGAGTGAGGAGCAGAGTGGCAGCTGTCTCTTTCCATCTTCCTGACTCTGCTCCAAATAGTGACTGTCTCCCTCCTCTTTGCCTCTAATACTGTGTTCATACAACCATTTGAGCACCTTATATACACCTAACTCCTACTTATCTTTTCTACCACTTGATGGTGAGCTTTTCAAAGGCAGGAACTATTTCTTACTCATCATTTTATCTCCAGCATGTACCTGGTGCATAGTAATTAAGAAGTGTTTGTTGAATGAATAAGTGAACACACACGTTAGAATTATAAAATGGCAGAGCTGGAATTGGCCTTAGAGGAACTGGTTCAACTCTCTTATTTTAACAAAGGGGAAACTAAGGTCCAGAGAAGGGGTAGTACGTTGGATTATTTTCCCCAGTTTGTCACTCCCCTGTAATTGTAACTTTGCAAAGCTTCCCACTGTGAATTCCCAGAGAATACTTTCTGCCCCCATTGATATTGCTCTTGGCCATGTGACTTCTTTTGTCTAGTGGAATATTAGTTTGAAATGGCTTTATGTGGTTGGCCTGCCTTATGAGAAGAGCCATGAGGAGAGCACCCCCACCCCCAGGTAGCCACTGCCTCTCCAATCTGGTCCCAGAGTGAAATCATGTAGAGCAGACCTCAGCCCAACTGGGAGCCTGGTGTCCATCCTGGCTTAGCCTGAATCAGCTGAGTGAACTCAAACTGTAGATCCATGAAGGAGAAAATAAATGTTTGGAGGTTAAATCATTTGAGACTTTAAGGTTGTTACACAGCAATAGCTGACTGATACAGAGGAAGTGAATTAGTTGTTCAAGCATAATGTAGTGTCACTAAAATTGCTGTTCAAAAATTTTCTTGGTCAATTATATGTAGATAAACATATGTTTTTTTTAAGTGAAACTGCTTGTTAATTTACACACATGTAGAGATCTTTTAAAACTGGATGTGCTTAAAATGGAATAATAATTATATTGACCACATCTTCCAAAACATGTGCAAACATGAACGCCAAAACATAAAATACCAATACAATCAGAAAGCCTGTGCTGTTAGTAGACCCATATACGAAACGTATAGAAAAAACATATATCCCCAGGTATTTAGAGAATAGTGAAAGGGGAAAATGGTACTGTACTTGGTGCACTGGCGTTTAGATTGCAAATAGAAAATCACAGATTCACAAACATATCCATATATAATTGTATATGACATCTAAATGTATATACGTATACATGCATATATACACAAATTATGATAGACAAGTTATAGAGACTGAAGCTATTTCCACTGATGTTCTTGTTTTTGTTTTTTACAGATATTCAATGCACAGTGTATCCAATAAGTAGTTCTGGACTCATTTACTTTTACAGTTATATCATAGACTTGCTTTCTGGCACTGTAAGTATTTAACATAATTCTGGATTTGGACCCTCAATACTGAAATAGGTTAATTTAAAGACCAGGTTCCTGAATGTCTGCAGTGAGAATCAAAAACGAGTGTTGACACAAGTACCAGTGAAAGAAAACAGGATTTGCAGTGACCTTATCGACAAGGATAATGTTCATCCACCCCTGCTAAGATATACAGGAAATGTATTTTGTCACTTTCAGCCCTTGGCCTTTTCCTGATTCCTGCCACCTTCGTATTGACCTGCAACAAGATCTGAGTTCCCCTGTAGAAAGAAGTTTCCGTGAAGATAAACCCAGATAGAATTTATTTTTTAACTTCTCTGACATTGAAAGACCTTAACATATTGTAATCCTAGACCACCTGGTTGAAAGCTGTGACTCCTCTTCCCAGCAATTACACACGCAGGTGTGCGTGGTACACACGTGCATACATGCCCTTACATGTGCACATGCACACACCACACTTGTGCACACACATACGCAGTCCCTGAAATCCCTTAAAAGTCTATTAATCCCAGGTTAACCCTGCTGCTCTAAAGTAGAATTAATCTCATCCTTCCTATAGTAGTTCCAAAAGTTTTTAATTCTTCTTTATTCTAAAAAATGTTTTTGTGTGCTTTCATTTTTTTTATCCCACTTTTTTTCAGCAAATAAGACTGCAGCTATGAAAAGTGGTGTCTCTGCCTTCTAGACTAGGGTTTCTCAACCTTGGACCCGACACTCCTTTGCTGTGGGCCTGTCCTGTGCACTGGAGGGTGTTTACAGCATCCCTGGCCTCCATCCACTAGATGCCAGTAGCAGCCCTACTGCTGTGACAAGCAAACATGTCTCCAGACATGCCAGCTGTTTCCTAGGGAACAAAATTATCCCAGGTTGACAACCCCTCCTTTAGATGTTTTAAAAAATACAAGTATATAAAAATATCTTTCTGAAAGTTACTGGTATTACAATGTCATGCCATTGAACATTTCTGAATCGATACATAGAAAGCATTGAATTTGTCCACTGCATTTGGTTTTGAAAAAGTGGATTTTACATCTCTGATCTCACGTTTTCCTCAGAACAACTGAGAGGAATCATCAGGTGGGTGTTAAAATGTCCACTATACAAATGAGAAAACTGAAGCTTGCAAACTACGCAAGGAGAAAAGAAAGTCAGTGACTCACCCAAGGTCACATGCTAGAGAGATCAAATCCCAGAACTGCTGTTAGCCCCATTTCTTTAGGTCACATCCCATGAGAGAAGTTCCTTGTTGTACGTCACCACACACCATGATCTTCATTATAGGAAAGATTTCACAGGAGACTTAGATGCACTTGATCATAAATGTTCAATAAACTATGCATGATAAAAAACAGCCCTGCCCCAAAGAATGAATTTTCTACAGTGATAAAAACGTTCTGGATCTGTGCTGTGAAATTCGACAGGCACTAACTCTTAAGCACTTGAAATGTGGCTAATGTGACCAAGAAACTGAATTTTAATTAAATTTTATTGTTGTTAATTTCAATTTATTTGTTTTCAATATGTGTTTTTAAAACCATTCTACATGCATTACAGAATGGCCATCATATGTACATTCCCTGTAATATCACTGTTCTCACCCATGCAAGCAAGTAGCAGCCTTACACATATTTTTCATGTGTTTTTAAACACTTCTGTTCATGTTTATAGAATGAACAGAACAGCCACTCGCTGAACAGGGTTTTCTATGTAGCAAGCAAATACCACTTCAGCATATTTCTTACAAGTGTTTTTAAACATTTCTATATGTATTACAAAATGACGGTCACATCCATTCATGGAAATAGCAGGGTTCTGTTCTCCATGTGGGTTGCAAGTCTGTAGCAGTCTTACAACTTCTCTCTCACACTGAATTTTAAAAACTTTTCTACACACATTACAGAATCGACATCCCATGCATTGACTAAAATAAAAGTATTCTGAACATATTGAGCAAGTAGCACTTTTACAACCATCTTTTTTCCTGTTTTTAAAATCTTCACTAATGCATTACAGTATGCGTATCACATTTATTCACTGAAAAACAGTTCTCAACATAGCAAGTAAGTAGCATTCTTACATCTTTTACATGTGTGTTTTTTTTAAAATTGAGATGTGATTGACATATAACACTGTATACATTTGAGGATGTACATGTTGGTTTGATACCTTTATATGTTGTAATATGATTACTATAGTAGTTTTAGCTAATAACCTTTATCATGTCACATATAAATTTTAATTATAGGCCCAAGAGGGAGCTGGCCAGAGAGATTAAGCAGTGGCTTGTCTTTGCTGAAAGCAATTGAGGCAAGCTCATGATCGTATCAGAGAAATTATTTTCCAGGCCCAGTGGACCTTTGTCCTGTAATGTAACTTTATTTTGTAGGAGAGATTGATGACAGTCCTGACACCAACCTGGGGCAATAAAAACATGTTTTGTAGGGTTGGGCAAGTTTTATGGCCTGTGTGCCCCAGCTTCAGGAGAGTTAAAGAAAAGATGCAGTATTCTGTTTCTACATCTTTGTTTTTCTATTAAAAATTTACTTAAATACTCAGTATAAGTATACATGGTTATCATAAAAATATAAGACTTATAGAGTAAAAAATAAAATTACCTCTCCCCAGAGACCACCAGTCCTTTAACACCATGGCTCATATCTTTCTCAACCTTTATCGTGCACTTATATGGACTTCTTTTTTTTTTTTTTTTTTTTTTTGCGGTACGCGGGCCTCTCACTGTTGTGGCCTCTCCCGTTGCGGACGCGCAGGCTCAGTGGCCATGGCTCACGGGCGCAGCCACTCCGCGGCATGTGGGACAGAGAGCACTACTGCGCCACCAGGAAAGCCCCCTCTGTGTATTTTTTTTTCCCTCTGTGTATTTTTAATGCTCAGGCTTTATCTGTGCTTTATTCCCCAAACTCTAGTTGAGCACCCCATATGTCTCTGGATTTTTTTTTCTTTTTTTTTAATTGGTCTAAATTATTTTTTAAATTAATTAATTTTTTTTAATTGAAGTATAGTTGATTTACAGTGCTGTGCTAATTACTGCTGTAGAGCAAAGTGATTCAGATATATATACACATTTATATACACACACATATATACGCCCTTTTTTTTAATATTCTTTTCCATTATGGTTTTTCATAGGATATTGAATATAGTTCTCTGTGCTATACAGTAGGACCTTGTTGTTTATCCATTCTGTATGTAATAGTTTGCTAACCCAGCCTTCCACTCCATCCCTCTCCCAACCTCCTCCTCCTTGGCAACCACCAGTCTGTTCTCTATGTCCACGACTCTATTTCTGTTTCATAAATAGGTTCATTTGTGTCATATTTTAGATGTCACATATGTGATATCATATGGTATTTATCTTTCTCTGTCTGACTTCACTTAGCATGATAATCTCTAGTTGTATCCATGTTGCTGCAAATCTGGAATTTTTCCAGTCTCTGGGGAATTCAGGGATGAACAGTGACACTGGAACGTGAGTTCCTTGAGGCAGAGACTGGTTTCTTGGTTCCCTGCAGTCAACTCACTAATCTGACCTCACGCCCTTGGCTTTGTTTCAGGGTTTCCTGGAGGATACCTGCCTCTTTTATGGACATTACACCATTGACGGGGTGAAATTTCAGAACTTCATCTATGATCTGCCTCTGGCTTATGTGTTAAGCACAGTTGCCTACCTGGCCCTGAGCCTTCTTTGGATAGTGAAAAGGTAAAGTTTATCTTGTCACTGTGTTCTCTTTGAATTATTCTTGATGGCTGGAGTCTCGTGGAGGTCTGTGGACTCCAAGAGCCATTGCCCAAAGGATGAGCAGAGTGTAGGGCTGAGCTTTGTGGAAAAAGGTTTGTGAGTGTGTTGGAGGCTGTGGACACCTGGAGGATGGAGGCAGCATCTGGGAGCTGGAGTAGCAGCCCAGAGTCTTCAGTCAATCATCAGTGAACCAGTACCATTCTGCCGACCTTATCTTTGTTTTTTTTTTTGAAAAATCTATCAAGCCTAAGCCCTTTTTTAAAAACAATTTATTATTTATTTATTTATATTTGGCTGCGTTGGGTCTTCGTTGCTGCACACAGGCTTTCTCTAGTTGCGGCGAGTGGGGGCTACTCTTCGTTGCGGTGCGTGGGCTTCCCATAGCGGTGGCTTCTTCTGTTGTGGAGCATGGGCTCTAGGTGTGTGGGCTTCAGTAGTTGTGGCACGTGGGCTCATTAGTTGTGGCACGTGGGCTCATTAGTTGTGGCTCGTGGACTCTAGAGCACAGGCTTAGTAGTTGTGGCACATGGGCCCAGCTGCTCCACAGCATGTGGGATCTTCCCGGACCAGGGCTCGAACCCGTGTCCCCTGCATTGGCAGGCAAATTCTTAACCACTGCGCCACGAGGGAAGTCCCACCAACCTTATCTTTGATCCGGTATATATGCTAACCAGGTCTCTACTGGGTTGCAAGTGGCAGAAACCCAACTCTGACTAACTGGGCTAAAGGGGAATTGAGTGGCTAAGAGAACCAAGGAAGGGAGGAAACTCCAAATTACAGGAAGGACAAGGATATAGGAATGGATTCAAAACAACCCAAAGCAAGGCTCCCGCATCTCTGATTCTTCTGGTGGCAGCTTCCTTATGTGTACTCCCAGGGTCACAGGCTCAGAAATCCTTTGAAGAGACTTGCTGGCTCTGCTTCATTCAGGTACCCAATTCTGACCCTTCAGTTGTGGCCAGTGGGTTAGACAACCCAAAAAGGCTCCCGCATCTCTGATTCTTCTGGTGGCAGCTTCCTTATGTGTACTCCCAGGGTCACAGGCTCAGAAATCCTTTGAAGAGACTTGCTGGCTCTGCTTCATTCAGGTACCCAATTCTGACCCTTCAGTTGTGGCCAGTGGGTTAGGGTCATATGCGAACGTGGCATTTCACGTGGTAGACAGGCATTTTAGTGGGAGGTGCCAATTCCCAAGAAAAGTGAGGGTTATTAATTACTTTAAATTACTTTAACAAACAACTATCCCCAAAAGTACAATGGCCCAACACGATAGAAGTTGTATATCTTTCTCCCATGAAGTTCTTAGTGGGCCGCAGGTTAGTGTGGAAGACTCCTTCTCAGTCCTGCTGGGACTCAAGTTGACTGAAGCTCAGCCATCATCAGCATGTGGCTTTTTAAGATGTTCCTCTTGAGGGCTGGAAGGGAAAACGACCTTGGAGGAGTATCATGTGGTAAGTGTTTCTGGGCTCAGCCTGAGAGTGATGAACGTCGCTCACATTCCATCAGCTATAGCTTAGTCACATGACCACGGCTCACTGAAAGGGATGCTGGGAAATGTTGTCCTTGGCTGGCAGCTGCTTCCCAGCACTAGCGCTACACTATGAAAGGAGAACCACCCATTCCTGATGGACGGCTTACTGTCTCTGCCCCAAGGGGAATGCTTGGATGGGCACCTCTCTTACCCACTTCATTGTGCCTGTGAGAGCCGGGCAGTGCTATAAACCATGGGGCTGTGAAGCTCCTTATCACAGGTGTCGAAGAGACCAGGGTTTTGGCATCTGAGTCTGTCCTCCATGGAGACCAGGGTTCGCCACCACAGAGAAAACCCCAGAGCCCATCCTGAGTCAGGATCTATGAGATGAAAATGAACTGGTGTGTGTCCATCCCCCACAGAAACGGGCAGCATACTGGCAAGGAGGAGCAGTGGCTCATTTTGAGGGCCGAGAGATGCTCGGTAAAGAAATGTTGGTTGATTGGGGTTCTGGCTTTGCTGTTGTATGCTCACGGCAAGGGCAGATCCAAGTTTTATGGACCGGCAGTGTAGACTGTATGGAGGGGCCCTCTGTAAGACAAAGAACATGAAAGTATCTTTTGTAAATGATAAAAAATCAAAACAAGACCATATGAACACATTGCTAGAGGCCTTGGAAGGGGCCCTGAATAAGAAGCTTTATCAGCTGAACAGTGAAGCCACCTCCAGGTTTTGCTCAAGCTCCTGCACCTCTGGCCTTGACTGCTTCGTGGGGAAGCCTGCAGGGAGGGTGGCTGTGAAGTAATGGGGAGCGGCCTACCCAGGGAGGAGGAAGTGCTACAGGGTGGCAATGAGGGTGGACTTAGGGGTCAAGAGACCAAGGTTCAAGTGTGGCTTCACCTTGGTGAACCTCATTTTCTTTGTCTGTGAAATGCACACACCTAGAAGGGTTGTTGGGAGGATTAACTGAAACAAGGCAGGGGAGGAACTTAGTACTGGGCTTGGCACTTAGACGTTTATTAAATTAAAATCATCGTCATCATCATCATCATCGTCGTCATCATTGCACTAGCCCCAGTTCTGCCACTAGCTGTTTGGATCTAGGGAAATACTTTTTCCCTTCTCTAGATCTTAGCTTTCTCACCTGTAAAATGGAGGTTTGGTCTAAATCAGACCATTCAGTTGGGGTGGGACCTCAGAATCACCATGGAGCTTTATAAATAGCATATTTCTGGAACCCCCCCATGAGACCTACTGAATTAAAAATCTCAGGATATGAAATCACCCAGGAGTCTGCATTTTGGAAAAGCACCCCAGCTGGTTCTGACATAAATTCTTTGCTGTGAATCTTTGGCAGAACAACTGATTGCTATAATTCCTTTCATTTCTATTGTCTTCACAACTCAGTAGCAAATCCTAAAAATACCCTTGTTTGTCTACAGAGTGTGTGGCATCTGATATTTTTATGTCAAGTGCCAGAGTGTATTTTTTTCCAGGAAAGCATTTGAATGAGTAATGATTATGAACTTGTGCAACAGAGTGGCATCTGACCAAAACAGGTGCTCGCTAAATATTTGGTTATTTTACTGTTTAAGTCATTTATTCATGCATGTATCCATCAGTTGGATAGTGGCCATATTTATATCCAGGCATTCCGGATATAAAGGTGGGAAGACAGCCAGGGTACCTGCCCTCAAGGAGTTTAAAATTTAGTCAGGGTAAGGGGCTACAAGCAGTAAACACATAAATGAGATGATTGGAGATTAGGTTATTGCTGTGAAGGAAATTACAGAGACTGACTTGAAGTAGGAGTCACAACTTTAGGTGGGATGGTGGGGAATCTGTGGAGGGGAGATTTGAGTGAAACCTGAGGGATAAGAAGGAGGCAGCCATGGGAAGAGGAGAGAGCAGAGGGAACTGCAAGTGCAAAGACCCTGAGGCTGGAGGAGAGGTTTGTGTGTTTATGGATAGGAAAAAAGCCTTTGTCATTACAGCAGAGTGGCCCTATGGGAGGAAAGATGGCGCCATGCAGGGTCACGCAGGACCTCTAGGGTGTATTAAAAGGGTTTGGATTTTATTCCAGCTGTGAAAGAAGCCATTGAATGGATGAAAGGAAGTGATTTTCAACAATGAGACACCTGGTTAGCTGCCACATATTTAGAACGATCCAAAACTTGACCAAGCATGTCAAAATGGGTGGAAGATGCAGCTCTGTGTAACTTTTTAATTTTAGACAAAGCATATCCATGGGCCTGTATTTTGTTGTTCTTATAAGAACGATAAACGTGTTTTGGGGTCAGGTCGGTGGAAGGGTTCAAAAGTAATCTGATCCGGAGCGAGGAGCACTTCCAGAGTTACTGCAACAAGATCTTTGCGGGCTGGGATTTCTGCATCACCAACCGCAGCATGGCGGACCTGAAGCACAGCAGCCTGCGCTACGAGCTCCGAGTGAGTGCCACTCAGTTTTCTCTTGGCGGGAGGTGGGGTTACAGCTTGCAAAGGAGCTGGTGGGGGCCAGGCTGTCCCCAGTGCTTAGCTGTGTAGCCCCTATGTAGTTTTCAAGAGCTTTTTGCAGAGAACCACTTCCTGGGGTTGTGTAGTTTTCAAGAGTTTTTTGCAGAGAACCACTTCCTGGGGCTAACCACCTTAGCCCCAGGCATGAAGCTGGTGAACTGGGGCTGGGAAAAGACGTGGTATCTTCCCTTCTCCCCCATCACCTTGTACTATTTTTTGTTTCTGTTTTGGTTTTAATTTAGAAAACTTATTTTAATCCTAGTTGAAGAAAACTGTTGTTTCTTCATATAGTTGATTTAGCATATTGTGTTAGTTCCAGCTGTGTGGCAAAGTGATTCAGTTGTACCTATACATATATTCATTCTGTTTTAGATTCTTTTCTCATACAGGTTATCACAGAATATTGAGTAGAGTTCCCTGTCCTATACAGTAGGTCCTTGTTGGTTTGTACTGTTATTTTTCTGCTTGATGAGAACCTGTCATAAACATCTATTAAACCAGGAGAAATAGGACTAAGAATGCTATGATAATAAGGTGGGGTGGAGAGAATATGAAAAAGCGGAACTTCCAAATTAATCAGGAGAAAAGGAGTAACAAATAGCATCTTGATCAAACCTATCGAAAAGAGGAGGAGACAATGATATCAAAAGTTTAATGAAGTGAGATGGAAGGAATCAAATGAAGTGTATTATTTGTTTAAAGAAATAACATATAGGTGATAGTAACATATAGGTAATGTCCTGAATAGGTTATAGTTCTGTTTTCACATTTATTGTGGAGTCTCATTTCAATCTTAAATAGAAGGTCTGCCTTCATTTAGGCCTTTAGGAGACATGGAAACTGGTTGGGCTTGGTCCAGGAGGGTATCCCTGGGGGAGATGAATATTTAGGAAACTTTGAAGATCGAGACGGAGAGTATGACGGTGAGTCACAGTTTCCACCCCTAAATATCCCTTCATCGCAGTGCTCACAAATGAGCTTTCTTTTGTTCTCAGGCAGATCTGGAGGAAGAAAGAATACGGCAGAAAATAGCAGAAAGGACCTCAGAAGAAACGATACGGATTTACTCTTTGAGACTGTTTTTGAACTGTATCGTGCTGGCCGTTTTAGCGGCATGCTTTTATGCAATCTATAGGGCGACTATATTCTCTCAAGAACACATGAAAAGAGTAAGTGCTCCGTGAAAGTCAATTTAACTTTTAGTCCCATTGGACGTTATGTATGCTAAGTGTATTGCAAACCTCTCAGGTAGATACTAGCATCATTCTGTTTTACATATGGGGATATAAGTTTGGCTGATATGACAGAGAACCTAAAATCAGAGTGACTAGTTTCCACTTTCAATAGAAAAAAAAAAAGAAGCATCCAAAATAGAGTGTTTGGGGTACCTCCTCCTCCTGGAGTTTATAATGTTCAAATCCAGGCTGGACTGCCTGGATTTAACCCCCAACTGCACAGCTTACTATCTGGGGCCTCAGTTTACCTAAAATAACAGTGGTTTTAAAAATCCAAGTTGGGGACTTCCCTGGCAGTCCAGTGGTTGAGATTCCACGCTTCCACTGCAGAGGGCACGGATTCAATCCCTGGTTGGGGAATTAAGATCCCGTGTCCTGCAGCACAGCCGAAACAAATTAAAAAATAAATAAATAAAAATCCAGGTTGGTCTAGTGGCTCTGCTTCATGAAATCAATCATCAGGGGCCCAAGTTCCTTCCATCTTGTAGCTCTGCCATCCTTAGAATGTGGTCTTCTGTATGGCACCAGGTAGCTCACCACATTCACATTCTAGCCAATGGGAAGGAAGTGAAGGAGATGAGAGCACACCCCTTCCCTTCAAGGGCAGGACCTGGAGGTTGCACTTAACACTTCCTCTTATATCCCTTTGGCCAGAATTTAGTCAGAGAGCCACTTACCTAGGAAGACAGTCAAATTACCTAGGAAATTTAGTTTTATCTCAGATAGCCATATATGTGATTAAATAATCTGTTGTTATGAAAGGAGGAGAGAATGGCTGTTCCAAGTCAATTAGTTCAGCCTTGAAAATGCTTTCAATTGCCCATTGATACAGAATACATGGATTTTTTTATATTTCACCTGAATAAATCCAGTAGAGCTCAGTTTTCTTCTAGTACGGTACTAGATCATGGTTCCTCCGTTTGAACACCCAAGGAAGGAGATGGCTTAGTTTTAGGTGCCATGTTGAATGAAACAAATGTTTTGTTTTGTTTGCTAAACATGTTTGGGTTTTTTTTCTCCCTTACAGTTCTAATGAAATATAATTGACATACAATACTGTATAAGTTTAAGGTGTTCAGCATATGACTTGACATACATATAGTTGAGTTCTTTTAAGGTCAGTTCATTTGTGATGCAAATTATTATACTCTTGACCAGTTTTGTTATCTTCATAGGAAATTGACAAGATGGTTTTTGGAGAGAACCTCCTGATATTGTACCTGCCTTCTATTGTGATCACGCTGGCCAATTTTATCACCCCAATAATCTTTGCCAAGATCATCCACTATGAGGATTATTCCCCAGGCTTTGAGATCCGGCTGACAATCCTTAGGTAATGCCTAGACATGCTACGCACGTCACCACTTGTCCCCTCCCCTGCCCACGACAGACATTGCTAATCCATTGTGGTACCTTTCCCTGCTGAGCCAAGAATCCTCTTCAGCCTTCAGACAGCCCCCATGAATGAATCAGAGTTTGCATATGCAGGGAAATCTCTTTGACTTGAGTGTCTATATTTTTTTCATGTATTAGCACATCGACAGCTGAGGGCATAGGGTGGGGCCCTTGGAAGAAATGTTGCTCTTAAGATGTTAGAAAGACAAGTGTATACCAGCAGGAGAGTGAGGAAGTGAGGGAGAGAAGGGAAGTCACCTTATAAAGGGTATGTTATTTGGCAAGTTGCACCTGGGGCTCAGTCCTGTGGGACAGCTCTGGGAGTTTGCGTGGAAAATATCTTAGACTTTTCCTAGGCAGGCGTGTTTGTCCTCCAGCAAGTATTTGGCCTCCCCTGCCTAAGGGCGGCTGGCTTCCAGGGGCATTAACTCCCTCACACTTCTACCCCACTAGGCCCATGCATGGGCTTGGGACGAGAGTTACAGTAGGAACTTGCAGTAGGAACCTGAGACTTTTGCTGGAGTGAGTGCTGAGAAAAATGTGGCCCAGTCACTGACTGTGTGTGCTACCATTGACTCTTTTTTTTGGGTTGACAGTTTATTAAATACACTACATTTGTACCTTATTCTGTAGTTTTTTAAGTCATTCACACATGGACTTAGTAAAAATGTACTTTATCGAAAACCATCTGCAAAACTAAAATAAAAATGCACACTTTGCCCACATCTTAGATAAACTGCTGAAAATGTTAGGAATTATTTTATTGAAGGTGATCATGAAACATGAGGTGGCTTCAGTTTATTAAATCTGACACCAGACCATGACTTCAGTAGTGTTAATGTTGAAACGTGGATGCAAAAACGTCTATTAACTAAACTGTCTAATCTAACAGTGTTTGAGAAACAGGACAAAATAAAGTATTATTTTTCCTTTACAGACACTTCTCTAAATCCATTTCCTATAGACTTTTTTCTCTCCCATTCATAGAATTAGCTGTGCAGATTGATGAGGCAAAAAAAATTCCTTAAAAAACACCGAAACAAACTAGATCCTATTTAGAAAACATGCAAAGGGAGAATTTTAAGTAGGTGTTATGGCAAAACTGGTTAAAGCTGTATATATAGTCAAGTGACAGAATATACCTTTACTTCTGCAAATGTGGGTCTTTCCCCATCTCCTTTCTGGGAGAAATACATTTTCAGGGCATGGACTGTAAAACGGCCTACAATGCAAAGACAGAAACAAAGAAGTTTGCAAATTCTTTATATTTCCAGCTGTTGAAACAGTATTTTTGAGAGTTGGGGTTACCTCTAGCGGTGAAACCAGAGCCAGCTATTAAGCAGGCAGAATGCCCCAGTAATTGAATACATGACCACTTCTCTTTTAGCACGTTCTTTGTTCTCCTCTTCCAGAAGTTGTAGACGTCTATTTAGTTTGATTATCTTTCATCTTAATGAAGCTGCATCTACAAACGTCATGTCATCTGAGGTTCCTTCAATCGTTGTATCTGTATTTGAAATGCCGTACGTGGAGTCAGTCCTGACCAGCCGTCCGTTTAGGCGAACAGCATTTTCACTCATAGAGCGCTGTCTTTTTAGCCTGCCAACTGCATGGATTTCTTCATTTTGAAGGGTTGGAGGAGGTCTTTCTAAATCCAGAAAATCTAGTGGGCTTTCACTTAGCGTAAGCACACGAGGTGGTGTTTTTAGTGCCAGAGGTTTGAAGGGAGTTGACTGTATAAGGTCAGGATCTGCTGGTCTTGAAAATGGAATGTCTTCATTATTTCCCGCTACAACAATTCTCTCTGGAACCTGCATAATCACACTAACATTTGAAACTCCTTCTTGGAATCCTTGTTCCAGGTCAGCATTTGGTGGTGCTACCTTTAATTTTTCCGAGACCCTCTTTCTCTAATAATACCTTCGGTGTATTCCATTTCATACTGAGCTTGACTGATTTCCGCCATCTCAGCAGCAGTGGGAAAAGGAAATGCTGCCCCACTCACTAAATGTGTACCAACTACTGCTTGCTTTTCGGCATTATCTGCTTCTGTGCTTCGTATTAAATCCTTTCACTTGCTTCCATATGCACGTGCTGGATTTAGAGCCACGTTTGTCCCCCTGGGCCTGCTGCAGGGTCCCCGGCGAGGACTGCTGCCCGCCGGCTCCCGGGGCCCTCGGGTGGGCGCTGTCAGAGGCCGTGGGCCAAGCTCATGGAGGCGCGAGGGCAAATCACCGGCCTGAGAGGCCCGCAGCGGGCTACCACTGACTCTTTATATTTGTTGTAATGTCTCTTCTCATACTAAACAAATATTCAGTTTCCTAAAATAATAAAATAAAAAATAAAGAAATGGCAGGTGTAAAGCTGGGCCCAGGGAGTTAACACACATGAGTTAAGGAGGACCAGGTGGGGAGTGTGTGACACTGGAATGTTTTCTGTCTGCTTCTCAAATGCCTCAGATGGCATTTGCATCTTTGTTTAAACAAATCTTTTTATTTTGGAAATTTTCAAACAGGACCATATAATGAACCCCCATGTGTGCCCATCACTTAGTTTCAACTATTTACCAACGTTTTGCTAGTCTTGTTTCATGCGGTCCCCCCAGCTCTGCTGGATTCTTTTCAGCAAATCTCAGGCAACATGTCATTTCACCTGTAAACAGCTCAGTATATCTCTAAGTGACAAGAACTTTTCTTTTTAAACATAATCGTCAGCACACCTCACAGAATTAAGTCAGTTCCCTGATGGAGTTGCAGAGGGCTTTCTATGGTTGGTTTATTCAAACCAAGATCCAAAGAAAGGCAGCATGCTGTGTTGGGTTGTTATGTCTCTTAAGTCCCTTTCATTCTTTCAAGAATTCCCCCATTGTATTATGCTATTGATTTGTGGGAGAAGCTGAGGTGTTTGTCCTATGGAATGTTCTCTACTTTGGATTTAGTTCATTGCTTTGTCATGGTGTCTTTTGTTTTCCTGTATCCCTCCTCAAATGTAGATTCAGACTTTTTATTAGATTCCGTTTCAGTTTTTAGTTATGGAAACCTCTTCGGTGGTGATAGGTACTCACGTCCGCCCAGAGGGAGGCACAGCATGTCAGGTGGATGGTGTGGGTTTGCTCCCCTACCCACACACTTTTTTTTTTTTAAATGGGGAGACCAAGAAGTTACTCTTTTTTTAAATTTTTATTTATTTAATTTTGGCTGTGTTGGGTCTTCATTTCTGCGCGAGGGCTTCCTCTAGTTGATGCGAGCCAGGGCCATTCTTCATTGCGGTGCATGGGCCTCTCACTATTGCGGCCTCTCGTTGTGGAGCACAAGCTCCAGACACACAGGCTCAGTAGTTGTGGCTCACGGGCCTAGTTGCTCCGCGGCATGTGGGATCTTCCCAGACCAGGGCTCGAACCTGTGTCCCCTGCATTGGCAGGCAGATTCTCAACCACTGCCACACCAGGGAAGCCCTACCCACACACTTTTTGATGTTTCTATATAATTTCTTTTTTTTATTACAAACCAAACAATAGATGAAGCATCTTTAAAAAAAAAAAAAAATGAGCCCTCTGCCCTCCTCTCTTGAATCCATTTTCCCCCAGCAGCCCTCATCTTCACGGTTCCTGTTGTTCATGCCAACGTTCACACGTTTTGTTTCCTTTTAAAAATAGGATTCTAGGGGCTTCCCTGGTGGCGCAGTGGTTGGGAGTCCGCCTGCCGATGCAGGGCACACGGGTTCGTGCCCCGGTCCGGGAGGATCCCACATGCCGCGGAGCGGCTGGGCCCGTGGGCCATGGCTGCTGAGCCTGCGCGTCCGGAGCCTGTGCTCTGCAGCGGGAGAGGCCATGGCAGTGAGAGGCCCGCGTACCGGAAAAAAAAAAAAAAAGGATTCTATCTACGTGAAACTCTGCAGTGTATTTTTTTCACTTCTCAGTATACCAGCCGTCTCTCAAAGCTGATACTTAGAAGATTCAATTAGTTCTTTCCAGGAATTGTTCTCAGCGTGGCTACGTCATCATGGATTCAGGAGTTCCCAGCTTTCTGATCTGTTTTTTTCTCTGCCATTTAAAAAATATTGTGGTAAAATACATATAACATGAAATTTACCATCTTAGTCACTTTTAAGTGTACAATTCAGTGGCGTTAAGTACATGCTCAGTGTTGTGCCACCATTGCCACTGTTTGGTTCCAGAATTTGCTCATCATCCCAAACAGAAACTCTGTGCCCATTTGTAGGTTTGCTGTTAAGAAAGGCAGCTTCTCTGCACCCCAGCCCTGTTCCAAGGGGCCCGCCTGCCCTGAGCCCTCCTCTTCCCATCCTCTCTCCTACCCTCTTCCCTGCAGGTGTGTTTTTATGCGGCTGGCCACCATCTGTGTGTTGGTGTTCACTCTGGACTCCAAAATTACATCCTGCGATAACTACCCATGTGAGCTCTGTGGCTATAACCAGAAACTCTACCCGGTGAGGCTTTGGGGATGGGCATCATGCTTGGTGGGTCATTTGGGGGTGGTAGCATTAGGGTTGAGAGAACAGCCCATGAAGCCAAGGGTTTGAATCCCAGTTGATCCTCATTCTTGCTGTGTAGCAGAGTCTGGCACACCAGGCACTTCTAATTCTAAGGGCTTGAAAACCAAAGTCTGTGCTGGAGCTCAGAGGAGCATCCGCTGATGCCTTCCAGAGGCAGCAGGATCGGGGGCTGGAAATGGCATTGGGAGAACCTGGCTTTTTCTGCTCCAAGTCAGGCTCATTTCTCTCTGGGTTTCAGTGCTGGGAGACCCAAGTTGGGCAGGAAATGTACAAGCTGATGATCTTTGACCTCATCATCATCTTGGCTGTGACACTTTTTGTGGATTTTCCTAGAAAGTAAGTGTGAGGGGTACCCCTCTTATCTCCCCCTACCCCCTCACCCTTTCCATCATCCCCACCACAGGTTCCCATCACAGCTGCTTTTCACAAAGTGCTGGATGATTCCGCATCCTGGGAACCACTGACAGCCACTGGTGACTTTGAAAAAGCTCTAGGCCATCACCTCCCCCTGGTCCATGATGTGCCCCATTGAAAGGCAGCACGAATAAGAAATGGTGCTGCTTTCCGCGGGGCTGCCGTGGGGTGACATCTTGCCAGCCCCTCCGGGCTGCAGTGGATGCCACATTTCCTAGTCTGGGTTCAAGACCCAGCACTGCCGCTTCCTAGTCATGTGACTGAGGGCAAGTTATTTAAGCTCTGTGCCTATTTTCCTACCTGTGAAATGGGAATAGTAGCAGTGCCCACCTCATAGCACCGTTGTGAGGATTAAATGACAAAATGCAGATAAAAGTACTAAGAACACTCCATGCCACAGAACTCAACAAACATTAACTATCACCATCAGGATTGTCATTACTATGCTGTCATTAAAAAAAAAAAATCATTCTCAGCATCTCCTTGAGCCTTAAGTGAAACCCTGTTCACTTAATCACTTTTTACCCACATGTACAAATTCTCCTGGTATATGCCAAAAGTCCAGTAAGCCCTTAAAAGTAAACATTAAAAAAGAAACTGTCCTTTTAAAAAATCACACAAATATGATGTGAATATGTACCTATTAAAGTTTTTTAATATTTAAACTTAAATAAATACAGAAATCCGGAGAATAGTGAGAATTGTCTTTTGTTACCTTACCCTCACTTCCCATTCCCACCCCACTCCACGGAGGTGACCACTGTTAACACTTTGGGGTAGATCCAGCAGTCCTTAAAATTAAAAACACATTTGTATAAATATGTGTGTAAGTAAACACACAGTCTTGCTGGAAGTGTTCTTTTTTACCCCACAGATGGGATCATGGTACATCCACATGGGTCCGCAGCTTGCTTTTTCTCCCCCATACAAACAAACTACCATGAACAACTTTCCCTGTCAAGGCACGTGGATTTTCCTCTCTCGCTTTAAGGACTGTATGTTATTCCACTGTACCCATGGCTTCTGATTTGTCGATGCAGCCCCTACTGATGGGCATTTAGGTTGTTTCCAGTATTTTTGCTAATATGTGGTAATGCTACAGTGAACAACTATGTGTGTTTATCTCAGGCCCCTGGTCCTAGGGTTTTTGTAGAAAGCTTCTAAAATTCCAGGGAGTAGCATGCAGGGTGGTAGGGTCCTCATAAGCCATTTTCTGTGTGGATGCACAATAGCTCAATACTTTTTGGATTGAGTGGCAAACTAGAGCACAGGGACTGCCTGTGTCATTTACTGTCAACTACAATGCAGTGAAGTAGGCTGTATTATAATCCCCTCACATTCCAGATGAGAAAAATGAGCCTTATCTAACGTTATTTGGCTGATAAACTGTAGATCTGAGACTTGGACCCTGGTGTTAATGAATCCAGAGTTCACTGTATTCTGCATCTTCTAGACATATGACTAACCAGTTTCCATAAGAAGTATGTGTGGAAACAGCCCTAATTTTGTGGATGTGGTTCTGTGGCCTTGGCAGACACTGTAGTCCAGGTGATAAATGGTCCTGTTTGTTTCCAGGATCCTGGTGACCTACTGTTCCTCTTGGAAGCTGTTTCAGTGCTTGGGACAGCAGGAGTTTTCTATCCCTGATAATGTTCTAGGGATCGTTTATGGGCAAACCATTTGCTGGATTGGAGCCTTCTACTCACCCCTTCTTCCTGCAGTTGCAACCTTGAAGTTCATTGTCATCTTTTACGTGAAAGAGGTAAGGAGAGGTGGGGTTGAGGGGTCAGTAACTGAGACCATCCTTGACGTTGCAAGACATTTGGCACACATGCTTGGAGCCCACCAACATCCCATTAGATGTATCAAAATTGCATCCCTTATTTGATACATATTTTTATTCTGGAGAAAAGACTTTGAATGGATTTTCACATTTTTGTCATTTTGAGAGTTTTGTTAAGAATGATTTTGCTCCTGTGATTTTAAAAAATGTTTTTTGTATGTAACTAAGAGTTGCGTTGCAGTTGATTAATCAGTTGACAGTGGTTCATTTTGGTGATGTTTAACAAAAGGTTTATTAACTAAAGTTTTGTGGTTTTCTGTTTGGATTTTGGAGCTGGTGCATTTATTTTCAGTTCTCAGTTATTTGTGTAGCTCCTCAAACAGCTCACAGGCCCTAGGCATTGTACCTGAACTAAGTGCTTAGTGGGTAAAGTAGCTCTATAGAGAACTAACTTATCTGGGCTTATTAACCAAACTTTTTCTTTATTGTAGAGGCAATATATGCTCACTATTAAACATTTAAACAATACAGATATGTATTCCATCCCTTCTTCCAGAGGTAGCCTCTGTTAATAACCCCTGACATTATTGATCACCTATTATGCCAAGCCCTGAGGATTCATAAATGGAAGTAATAATAGTGGTAATAACAATAACACTGATACACCCTTTGAAGTAGGCACTGCTAGTAACCATATTTTATAAATTAGGAAGCTGAAGTTTAGAGAGGTTAAGTAACTGGTCCAAGCTCACACAGCTTATAAATGACTCCTGGGATTTGAACCCAGGTTTACCTCACTCCAGAGCCTAAGCTCTTAATCCAGTAGGCAGGGCCTTGAATTGTGTCATACTTTCTACCTGGGTGTTTTGGCCTTTGAAGAATGTTCTGATGCTTTCATTTGGAAACTTAAATCGGCTGAAGTCACCAAGGGAGAGATGGATGCGAGAAAGCTCAGAGGAACTTTTTGTTCTTCCAGAAAATATGTTAGGCAGTGGTTTCCTAGCGTGTAGCCCAGTAAAGACAGCGTAGGGGTAATGGAATGGGTCACAGGCACTGGACTGAGTTCTGACACCCCAGTCTGACTGGCCACCTGCCCCCAGACACCCTAACAGGACACCAAGTGTCCCTGGTGCTCGGTGCCCTCGGCTCACAAGATGTTCCAGCTGCTGCAGCCACAGGAGCTGGATGCCCCTTCCCGAGGCTGTAGCTTTCTAGAATGTTAAGGAGGAATTGGATGCCTGTTACTGTACCCCTCTCCCCGTCCCCACCTGGTTTCTCCTTCAAGTCTTTTTTCCCTCAATGGAAATATTTATTTTTAATATATAGGAAAAATACATATGCTTGTAAAATTCAAGCAAATATCTCCTGTTTTGGTGTGTATATATTTAGTACCTATTTAAACCCCTGTAGAGAATAAATACTTTTCGAATTCTTTCAAATCATCACATTGTACGCTCTTAAGTGTCTTACCATTTTATTTGTCAATTATACCTCAGTAAAGCTAAAAAAAGAAAGAAATTTAAAGTAAAATGTTTAAAAAATACTAAAAACAAAACTTAAACAAGATCATACAGTACAGAGTTTTGGAATCTACCCTTTTCATTTCACATTGCCGTGTAGGATATAAAGCTTTTCTAAGGGCTATGTGATTTTTCCATTGTGTAGATGCACTTTAACCTTTAAGGAACCCCTTGGGTAGCTACTTAGGTTGCTTTCAGTTATTCCCTGTTATTAACAACTGTAGCAGTAAATATCCATATACTTATTTTTTGACCTATTTTTAAAATTTTGGTCAGAAAGATTATACCGATTTACATTCTATAATACATGACTGTGCTCATTTATCCTCAAGGAAGCTGTGCTCTTAATTTTTCCTCTTTCTTCCTCTCCCCTTAGATAAGTCTTCTTTATACCTGCAGACCCTCTCCGAGGCAGTTCAGAGCATCTAATTCTAATTTCTTCTACCTGTTGGTGTTGCTGATTGGGCTGTGCTTGGCAATAATACCTCTTACAATCAGCATTGCACGGTAAATATGACTTTGTCTTCTAGAACATTCCCTCCCTGACATGTCTGTCTTTTATGTTAAAGGCTTCATTGAATTCTTTATTGGCTTTCCTCACAGCGCTCCACCCACAGAGGTCAGTAAGTCACTCCTGGCTCAGCCAGGCCCACCTTTGTTTCAGAATCTCCCTCTGGATGCTGGAATATCTTGGGTCACTTCTGAACTTGGGCTTGCAGGGTTCTCACTGTGTTTGAGAGTGTCGGTTGGCTCTATTCTTTCCAGATCCCTTTTCCTAGTATCTCTCTTCTAGTCCCCTTTGGGAATGTTTCTTTGTTTCTGATTATGAAGTTAATACATGGTCACTGAGAAGATTTGGAGTGTCTTCTATTGCCAAGCACTGTGCTAGCTGCTAGGGGTATAAAGACAGTTCAGACATGGCACAAGGAATGTAGTGTCTAGTGTGGAATTTGGAAAAAGCAGAAATGCTCAGTCCTGAGGATGGGAAGTTGAGGGTTCAAATCCCAGTGAGGCCACTCCCTAGTGTTCTAACCGTTTATTCCAGAGGCTGGAAAGAGAGTAAATGATTTAGGTTTTCTGGGCCATATGGTTTCTATAGCAACTATTCAGCTCAACTGTTTACATATCATCTATGTTGCAGCCATAGATGATATATAAACTAACAGGCATGTCTGGGTTCCAGTAAAACTTCATTTATAAAAATGAGGCTTGGGACTTTCCTGGTGGTGCAGTGGGTAAGACTCTGTGCTTCCAATGCAGGGGGCCCAGGTGCAATCCCTGGTCAGGGAACTAGATCCCACATGCATGCCTCAGCTAAGGAGCCCACGTGTGGCAACAAAGACCAGGTGCAACTAAATAAATATAAAAAAAAAAAAAATAGGCTGTGGGCCAGATTTGGCCTGTGGGCTATAGTTTGCCAACCCTTGACTTACAGTCTCATGGAATTCCATTTCTTCATCTTTATTTTATTTTATCTTATTTTTTCCATTTCTTAATCTTTAAGTGAAAAGTCTAGAACTTTGAATTCCTCTCTCCTCTTATTATTTTTTAAACTAAATTGAGTCTATATATTTTTATTGTAATAGTGGTATGTTACATATATTGAAAAATTCAAGCAGTACAGAAAAGGGTATAAATTAAAGAGAAATTACTGCTCCCCATTCCCACGTCTTAGTCCTACTCTAAGAGGTGACCACTGTTAACATTTTATGAACCCTTCCAGAAAGTTATTATGAAAAATGTATTTTTAATGCCTATGGAATAATACTGTTTGGCAGCTTAATTTTTTTTTTTTCAGTTTATATTGTGCCCTTTTCCAAGCCAGCACATAAAGAGCTCTCATTCTTTTAAAGTAATTTTTAGCTTTGATTTTTTTAATAAGAAATACATTCACATGGAACAGAACTCAAAAAGTATAAAAGAGGGCTTCCCTGGTGGCGCAGTGGTTGAGAGTCTGCCTGCCGATGTAGGGCACACGAGTTTGTGCCCCGGTCCGGGAAGATTCCACATGCCGCGGAGCGGCTGGGCCCGTGAGCCATGGACGCTGAGCCTGCGCGTCCGGAGCCTGTGCTCCGCGACGGGAGAGGCCACAACAGTGAGAAGCCCGCGTACCGGGGGGGGGGAAAAAAGTATAAAAGAGTCTATGGAGGAAGTTCATTCTCCAATTCTATCTCCTAACTACTTAGTTTCTGTCTAAGACAGTCATATCTGTATGTGTTTGTCTCTCTCTCAGTGGTTCTTTATTCTGTTGTATGAATGGATCATAAATTGTTCATCCATTTCCTTAAACAACATTTAGGTTGTTTCCAGGAATCTATTTTTATCCCTAAAATAGTGCTGCAGTGGAAAATTTCCTACACAGAACTTTATGTTAAGAATGTAGGCAATTCTTGTAAGCCTTAATTTAATTTTTTCCATTGTAATTTTATTTTTCCCTGCTTTTTATTTTGAAAAATTTTTATCTATAGAAAAGTTGAAAAAAGCAACAATGAAAATTTATATACCCTTTACCTGGCTGTCCCAGCTGTTAACATTCTGCTACGTTTGTTTTCTCTCTGTATATACATACTTTTTGTGTGTGTGTGATGATGAACCATTTGAAATTAAGCTGTAGGCATCATGACATTTTATTCCTAAATACTTGAACATGCAGTTCCTAAAAATAAGGACATTCTCCCTTCTATATATCCACAATAGCATTATCACACCTAAGAAAATTAATGCCAATATCATATTCCTGCCATTTTCAAATTTCTCCAGTCCCAAGATAGTCTTTTATAGCTTTATTTTTAAAATGAAGATCTTTCAAGTTTTACTCATTACTTTCGGTTGCGATGTCTCCTTAGTCTTTGATTCTTCAGTTTCCTCACCACTAAATTAAGAGACTGAAGGGCAGACTCCCCACATTCTGGAGTTGTCTGACTGCTTTCTCACAAGGTCATTTAACTTGACCTTCTTCTTATTTTAACTTTTGGTGCTCAGTTTATTTTTGCTCTAAAATATCACCAGAGTAGCTATCTTCAAGTAACAGGTTCTTTTTTCTTTTTGAAGTATAGTTGAGACAATGTTGTGTTAGTTTCAGGTGTACAGCAAAAGTGACTCAGCCGTATATATATGGCTTTTTCTTTTTTACATTCTTTTCCCTTTTAGGTTATTACAAAATATCGAGTATAGTTCCCTGTGCTATACAGTAGGTCTTTCTTGGTTATCGGTTTTACATATAGTAGTGTGTATCCCAAACTCCTAATTTATCCCTACCCCCCTGCCTTCCCCTTTGGTAACCGCGCAGGCTCAGGGGCCATGGCTCACGGGCCCAGCCGCTCCGCGGCATGTGGAATCTTCCCGGATCGGGGCACAAACTCGTGTGCCCTTACATCGGCAGGCGGACTCTCAACCACTGCGCCACCAGGGAAGCCCTCTTTTATACTTTGGTATAAAATGAAGTTACTTTGGTAACTTCATTTATCGAAGGCTCGATAAATGACAAGTGTCATTTGTCATTGAAGGCTTGAGCCTTCATTTATCGAAGGCTCGATAAATGACAAGTGTTGGGTGCAGGGGCGACGAGGGTTTTTGTGCAGTGATTCATTTTGAGTGTAATTCTCAAATAGTCTATTTCTGTATTGTAAATAAGTTCATTTGTATCTTTTTTTTAGATTCCACATATAAGCAATATCATATGATATTTGTCTTTCTCTGTCTGGCTTACTTCACTTAGTATGATAATCTCTAGGTCCATCCATGTTGCTGCAAATTGCATTATTTCGTTCTTTTTTATGGCTGAGTAATATTCCATTGTGTGTGTGTGTGTGTGTGTGTGTACACGCACACACACACACACACACACATCTTCCTATCCATTCATCTGTTGATGTATACTTAGATTGCTTCCATGTCCTGGCTACTGTGAATAGTACTGCTATGAACATGGGTGTGCGTGTATCTTTTTGAATTAGAGTTTGCTCCAGATATATGCCCAGGAGTGGGATTGCAGGATCATATGCTAACTCTTATTTTTTTTTTTTTTTTTTTTTGCGGTACACGGGCCTCTCACTGTTGTGGCCTCTCCCGTTGCGGAGCACAGGCTCCGGACGCGCAGGCTCAGCGGCCATGGCCCACGGGCCCAGCCGCTCCGCGGCATGCGGGATCTTCCCGGACTGGGGCACGAACCCGTGTCCCCTGCATTGACAGGCGGACTCCCAACCACTGCGCCACCAGGGAAGCCCGCTAACTCTTATTTTTAAACTTGACCTTCTGTCCTGAATTTCCTATAAACTGGAAGTCAGGTCTAGAGACTTGATGAGATTTCAGGGTAAGCATTTTTGACCAGAATATTCCAGAAGGCCCATGAGGTCAGGCGGATCCTTGTGGGTCACTGTTAACAAAGCTTCGTGGGTACACAGAGGAGGGATGCTCAGCCTGTGCTGCAGGCCTGGCCCTGAGCCCCATGCTCTGTGTCCTGGTAGCATCCCTTCCTCCAAAGCCTGTGGGCCCTTCACCAACTTCAACACCACCTGGGAGGTGGTCCCCAAGATGGTGAGCACCTTCCCCAGCTCGCTGCAGTCTCTGGTCCATGGCATCACGTCGGAAGCCTTCGCAGTGCCTTTCTTCTTGATCCTCTGGTGAGTGAGAACTGGATTCTGCGGGTATTTTCCACTGTGGCTGGTGGGCTCCTCTCTGCTGGAAAATGGAGCTCACCTGTGACTCTTGATATGGTACCAAACCTCTCTGAGTCGCACTTTTCCATCTCTAAGCTGTCAAAATAATACCAGTAGTAATTCTTTCAGAGGGTCACTGAGCAGGTTCAGGGAGATCCCACTTGTAATGGGGATCTGTACTTAGCCAGAAGCCTGAGTTATAAAATATAACCCAATAAATGTTGCCTATTATTATATTACTGATTATTCACAAAATTAGTTGCTCTTTGGAAAAGGAACTGATAACTGGGCTGAGAGAAGAGCACCAGACTAGAAGCATACACTTGAACCCTGGCTCTACCACTTACAAGCTGTGTGGCCTCAGGTCATCACATACCCTCTCTGAGCCTCGATTTCCTCACCTGGAAAATGGGAATAAGAATGGCACATACCTCGTAGGGCTGTGAGCAGAAGGACACATGGTGAGGACCTGGCCTTTAGTGAAGGCTCGATAAATGACAAGTGTTGGGTGCAGGGGCGACAAGGGTTTTTGTGCAGTGATTCATTTTGAGTGTAATTCTAATCACAAATATCTGTTGAGGACTTACTTTGTACTAGGCATTGTTCTAATTATAGCCCATTCTCATTATTCACAAATTCCATATTTTTTTTCTGTATTGCAAATGTGCTTACTAGCTAAAATATTTTTGTAACCCAAAAATCAGTACTAATGGTGTTTTTTTGGGTGATAATTTGTAGACATGCATAGAGTAGTAAAAAATTTGAGATGCCTGATGCACAATGTCTCAGTGCATTTGGGCTGCTATAGTGAAATATCATAGACTGGGTGGCTAAACAACAGAAATTTATTTCTTACGGTTCTGGAGGCTGGAAGTCCAAGATCAAAGTGCCAGCATGGTCGGATGAAGATCCTCTTCCTGCGTACAGACTTCTTTTATTCTCATATGGCAGAAGGGACTCGGGTGCTCTCTGGAGTCCCTTTTATAAGGGCACTAATCCCATTTGTGAGGGCTCCTCATGACCTAATCACCTCCCAAAGGCCCCACGTTCTAATACCATCACCTTGGGATTAGGATTTTGCAACATATGAATTTGAGGGGGACACAAATATTCAAACCATAGCTCAGACTGTAACTTGTGTCCTTTTTGTGATCCATTTAGTGCAATGTTTCTTGCATTTTGTGCTTTTGGTTGGTGATTTCACTGTTCACGTGTAGAGCTGAAGTGCCGTCTAGGGTTCCTAAGTGCAAGAAGGCTGGGATGGGTTTTATGAAGAAAATATGTGTGTTAGATAAGCTTCATTCAGGCACATGTCATGGTGCTGTTGGCTGTGAGTTCAGTGATATTAAATCAGGTGTCTTGAAACAGAGACAGGGTTATGTATTAATAACCTTCTCTCTCAAGAAACATAAAACACAGTGTTGATCGGTTGACAAAAATGTTGTGACCAGGGGCATAAAGGAACCTATTCTGTATTTCCCCTCGGGGCACTGGCTCAGTGTTCCTGAAGACTATAGAACAGAAGAGAACTACCACAAATCACTGGAATTGATTGTAGCTTACATGTATTAACTCATGCAATCATCACAGTTATCCTACGATATAGATATTATTAGAGGAAAACCCCACCATAATGCAAGAAAGGGGTTAAAAAATTCATTTGTTAAAGGCAGGATACCTTTGATATTAATAAAATGATGTGGGGTTGCAGCCAGTTAGCCTGGAATTGCAAGGATCCCAGAGTCCAGCGGTTCCATCCTAACTGATTCACCCCAGCTGTGATTTGGCTGGCACCATATGGTGGTGGTTACCTGATCTGGCTTCCACATCTTTGGGGGTCATTCTTGTCCTTGGCCATGAGGACTTCCAGAAGAGAAGACTGACATCACTGATTCCAGTGGCCCTCAGCCCTCTCTGGGGAGACTGGACAGGCAGCCACCTCCCCTGCACAGAAAACAGGAACCAATTGCCAGTTGGTTTTATTCAAAATTGTATTATCTTAGGCTTGTTATCACTGGATTTTCCTCTATTATCCCCATTTTATAGATGAGGAAACTGAGGCCAGGGAGGTTCCACAGTGATCATCCACAGCCAGTTCTTTCTGTGCTGAGCTGACCTTCTGGCCCGTCTCCTCCTCTCTCCCCTCTCATGTGTGTGCCAGGGGAGCCTCAGCAGCTTTTAATATTAACTCTAGAAAGCAAGGCAGGAATCGATCTCTGCTGCCACTGCCAAATAAAACCCCTCTGGCTGTTTCTTTTTTTTTTTTTTCCTTTTCTTTTTGTTGGAGTATAGTTGATTTACAATGTTGGGCTAGTTTCAGATGTATACCTCTGGTTGTTTCTGATGCTCTCTGCTTGGGAGACGTGAGGGTTTTCTTTCTTTTTTTTCTAACAAAAGTAAAAGTGTTCCAGGCGAAGTGTGTTGGGTTGCTTTCCAGTGTGGCCTTCAGACGGTACAATCTCCCTAGTGGCCTCTCGCCTTTTGTTGCAGCCTCGTTATGTTTTACTTCATCGCCCTAGCAGGAGCGCACAAGCGGGTGGTGGTCCAGCTCCGAGAGCAGCTGTCCCTGGTAAGGAAGCACCGGTCCCAGGGGCAAGGCCGGGACATTTACCCAAGACACTGAAAGGAATGGGGAGCCCTTCCCAGGGAGAGGGTGGGATTTCCCATCACCACTCGCCCAGAACCCTGCCTTCAGGCTCGGCCTCCTCCAGCCCCATTCATTCCCTGACTCATCCATTCCCTCAACATTTGTATCCTCATATTTGTGCTGGGATACACAGGTGAAGAAGAGAGACAAGGCTGGTTAGTAGTTAAAGAAAAAAGATAAATTCCAATTGCGATAACTGGTATGACGATGATGATACAGAGAGGTAGTTAGAGTGGCGGGTGGACCATCTGCTGCGAGATGGTGGCCACGGAAGGCCTCTTTGGAGGCGGCGATGGTGGAGCTGAGACTCGAATGATGAGAGGAGCCAATTATGGGAGGTCTTGGGCATGAGAGTAACAGGCAGAGGGTACATCGAGGAGTGAGCCGGGCACTCCTGGGCCCAGGGGGAAGGGCGGTGTGGCTGGAGGGTGCAGGATGATGGGGAGAGGCAAGGCGATGCTAGAGTCACAGCATAGCTGGGGTCACAGCATCACCTGAGGGCTCTGGTGGGAAGTTTGGGTTTAATTCTGAGTGTGATGGGAAGCCATTGGACAGTGGTAAGTAAAAGTCTGATGTTCATTTTTAAAGGAACATTTTTACAAGGCCGCTTTGTGGACCAGGGGCTGGGGAGGGAGGAAGAGTGAAAGAGGCAATTTGGAGGCCATTGCCATGGTCCAGTGGTTATTACCTACCAAGTCTGATAGGTAATTTCTTAGGTCGAAATAATGATATTTGTTTCCAAATATATTGAATGTGCTCTTGAACCTGTCTGTGTTTTTAGGAAAGTCGTGACAAGCGTTACCTAATCCAGAAACTAACAGAAGCCCAGAGGGATATGAGGAACTGGCTAGACTGACGGGGAGATGCTGCAGCGTGCGGTTTACAGGCTGGCCTGGTGACCTGCCAGCCTACACCATCTACCTGAGATTTTAGCAGAAATTTTTAAATATATTTTTCTGGAATTTGGGCCTTTCCTGCAAGTGGCTCCATATGTGCAGCTCCAGTGCCTGTGTTTACATAACCCAGCCCCTGTTTAATGCTTTAGGGACTTAGAAAAGTAGGTTTGCCTGATGCCCAGCAGCTCAGGCTCAACCAAAACGCTGAAGCCATTGAAGGTTTTCGACCAAAATTGCTGAGAGACCATTTATAGTTTTACAAGCTTATTTGTATTGTCTTTTAAAGTTAACTGTAGAGGTCATCTATCCATGAGCCTGGGTTAGTTCTTTGGAGCCAGGTTCTGGGGGTTTAGGCTGAGAAGTGTTCCTTAAGAAGCAGTGACTCTCTAGGATTGTTCTGTAGACTTAGAATGGAGACTCGATTTTTTTGAAATGGAGAAACCCTTGAATTGTGATGTTTGGACCAGATGGTGGGAGCATGAAGAGGATGGTTATGTAATTTCAGCTACATGAGAATATGTAACATGAGAATAATATTATAGGAGAGAAAAGCCCTTCCTGCTGTGCGAATGAGCAAGGCCCTGAGTGCCCTGGATTGAGCCCTATGAGGAGGGGAACAGTGGCAGGATGGCAGCCTGGATTTCGTAGCTTCCTGGGCATTTTGCTACAGCTTTGTTACTCAGGGCAAACTGCCTTTAAGGGCCTGGATATCCACAAAACTTCCATCCCTCTAGTCCTGGGTTTGGGGACTTGGCAGAGTGCCATCAAGATGGAGAGGCAAAGTTTGTCTCTCAGTCTTCCAAAAGTCGTTTCACTTCCTGCACTGAGGTCTCTCAGTGACACTTCATGGTTCGGAGCCAGGCTGGAAATGACCGTTGAGTCTTTGAGTGTTTCGGCATGTGGGTTGCAGCATCAGGCCAGCCTGTGACGGTGTACCAAACTAGACTGAATGTTGACGTCTTAAATGTACATATTCATATTTTTAAGGGCTATTGTTTTTCTTGTGCTTAAAATTTTTAATTTTATTTTACAAAACATGCAGAGTATCTCTTCAGATTTCCGTCACCATAAAAACCGTATGCAATAAATACCTCATCACTGAAATTGATAGCTTTAAACCTTTTAATATAAGCCTAGATTATGGTTTACTGTAAGCAGTCTTCATTCTAATACCTTCAGAATCTTTTTCAAAGTACTGTAGTTTTGTAACGGACCGTTTGTACCCTCCTTCTACTGTTTTCCTTCCTTTCACTGGCTCTAAACCTTTCCTGGGGGTAGCCTGGAATTTAAAGGTGGGTGCAGGTTTTAGAAAGCTGCTGCTGTGAAGAATATTTCCCCCCCTCCCCCCATTACTCACAAATGATTGACTCCTTGCTCTGAGAAGCAAAACAAGCTCACCATAGTTAACATATTTCTGTATACTTGTCCCTTTGCCAAACAATTTTTTTTTTCTGCTCTTCTGCAGGTAGTATTAACACAGGATATTTTTATACCTATAAAACTGATGAGCTTTTCTTGTTAAGGTTTATGAATTTTTAAGTCTAATAACTAGTAACATGGAATTGTGAGCAAACGAAAGTTCATTCCATCCTCGCTTTTAAAAAATTCTAAATTGTTGGCATTTTTGCCTAGAGAATTTATATGTATAACGTTCTTGCCTTCACCATGCTTCTGAGAACAGGCAGGTTTTCTGCGGTGTGTGTGTGTGTGTGTGATGGAAACTCTGTTTTCTTTCACTATTATTATACTGAAATATGCT